ATATATATATATATATATATATATATATATATATCTCATGTTGCCATTGTCTCCTGTCGAGTGTTGAACTGTGTAACCCTGCTGTTGGTGAGTTTGTTTCTGTTAATGCTAAGTCAAGTCTGTTCTTGTCAAGTCTTTGTTTTGTATTTGTTTGGATTTTGGATTCTACTTTGTTTTAAAGTGCATCTATTATGCCATTTCCAATATTGCCTTTCATGCAGTGCAGTAGCTGTATGAGAATGTAAACGATCTGCCAAGCTGTAAAGCCAAAAGTGCACGATAAATAAAGTTATTGTCTCCCAAAATAAAGAATCGACTCTGAACAGCTGAAACGAGTTGTTAGTAATTCGAATCCCACTTCCGTGACGGCTACACGTCACGGGGTAACACATTTGCATAATGCGCACCTATGTTCTATGTTGGCCGCCCACAAACACGTCATTCTACTGACGACTGCTTCTCTAATCTCGGGGAGTTCAACGCATTCACAAAACGCTTGCTGCTGAAAGATGGATCAGTATCCTGTTTATTTGGACCAGCTGCTCCACTGAATCACAACCTGTAAGTATGATAAATAATAGATGTTTATATTTTCTATAGAGTGTTCAAAATACGGAAATAATGAAATAGGCGTATCGTTTCCGACACGCGCTGTACATCAATCACAACAGACTAGGCCATCTGACCAATCAGAGCAGAGCAGGCTCACGGAAAGGAGGGGTTTAGAGAGACTGAATCTTTGAACTGCTTCGAACGAATCGTTTGAGAATCGCTGGAAAATGAGTTGATATTAAATGCATATTTTGAGAAAACGAAAGTGTTTTTTGACATTGCATGTATGTAATCCTATTGTAGGAGACTCCCAAAACAATACTAGGAACCGTATAAATGGCATAATAGGGGCACTTTAATAAACTGCACTTGGGTTCTTTAACTTGCCGTTCAGTGGACCTTTGTTACAGTTTGAGAAATTTAAATGTCGTATGGTTTTGGATCTAGAAAGATATTTAAATGTTGTTCGGTTTTGTTCTAGAAAGAGATTTAAATATTGTTTGATTAACAGATTTCAATCTTGGACGATTCTGTTCCATTAAGAGATCTAAATGTCATTCAGGTTTGTTATAGAAAATGATTTAAATGACATTCGGTATTATTCTAGAAAGAGAATCAAATTTTGTTTAGTTTTTGCTTAATTAAGATATTTAAATGTCATCAGTTTTGTTTGATTAAAAGATTTCATTGTTGGTCAGTTTTGATCGTTAAATATCTGTTTGTTTGTTTTCAATTAAGAGATCTAAAAGTTGTTGGTTGCGTTCTAGAAAGAGTTTTATATGTCATTCGGTTTTGTTCTAGAAAAATATTTTAATGTTGGTTGGTTTTATTTAACAGATTTAAATGTCATTGTTTTATTTATTTTATTTTTTTGATCAACAGATTTCAATGTTGATCGGTTTTGTTTGATAAAGAGATTTATAAATAAATAAAAGCATTATTGAAAATAAGATGGATGTCACAGGCGAAAAGACTGAGGCTCTGGCATATACCTGGAGAAAGTAATTAAGTGATTTAGATAATGGACATTTTTTGTCGTAAGCAAGTATCGTAAGCAAATTAGTATGTTAGTCAAATACTAATTTCTTTTCAGAGATATTAAGGTAGAATAGTTATTTAGTGTAATATTTTGTAACTCATCCAGATTTGCGATTTTAGATCATCATTTAATAGTGTGTGAACTCATTAGGTAAGGCGAAGTGACACACACACACACTCACACTGGACGGCGCGCTGCAGGACTTTCCTCTGCTGGCACATGAGCATCTGGAGTTTCTCTGGAGAGACTGAACCCTGGGACAGATCCAGCATGAGCCGCGGGTCTGAAACCGGTCCAGAACAATCACATGTGACTGATGCTCAGCGTGAATGTTCAGTATGATGAGTGTGTGAGTGTGTGTACCTCTGTTCTCCTGCATTATGTAATCTACAGGGTTGCTGACGGCGGACAGGGAACACGCTGGCATCAGAAACACCACACTGATCTTCTGCAGACGCGCGTCAGAGACGTCCAGAGACTCGAGAGAGTCTGGAAGCAGCTTCACATCTGAAAAACACACATTTACTTTGTCTTCTAACAAAATTAATCTCTCTGACCTCTATTTTCTAACCAAGGACTAACCAGCATCCCACCCCTGTTATTATGAGCATGTATTTCATGTTTTTGTTTTTTCATATAAGGAATATTTATCCATCTTTCCTACTGTATACTATAAATATTGTGCTGCCTAAATTGACGTTTTGTATGCTAAATTAGCATTTAACTTTTATGTGTTTAAATTTAAATTTTTGTATAAATATATTAGTTTTTTCTCTTTAAATTAACATCGATTTCAAGCAAAAAAATATTATTTTTGTGGTTTTGATTTTAGCTTCAGTTATAGTTAACTATAATAACCCTGAAATAGATATACTGATATGATGTAGATGAACTTAAAATATCGCAGTAATCACAATAAAAAATGGTTTTGTTAGAAAGACATCATTTAGTCATGAACCGTTTTGTCTTAGTGAACGTCCCCCGAAGGGAGTTATTTCTTCTGATTCAGACCCCAAGAGACGTGTATTAGCATTTTTACCACAGAAATATACCAAGGTCACACACATGTTTGAGTCAAACCTTCACCGGTGTCTCTCTATCATGGTCCTGGAGGAGCTCATTTGTGCATTTACATTCATGCATTCAGCAGAAACGTTTATGTAAAGCAGCTTAAACTGCATTCAATATATACACTTTTATCAGTTCCTGCATTCCCTGGGAATCAAAGCCCTGCACCTGCCACTGCTTACATTACAGCAAAACAGGGACGCACAAAATTTACATTATATTCACATTTATTCATTTAGCAGATGCCCTTATCCACAGCAGCTTACAAATGAGGAACAACACAAACAATTTATCATAAGAGCCATAACATGTAATAAGAGATATATCTGCATCATATCAGTAAGCTGAGTGTTGTGTGGAAACCCAAATAATCATTCAGATCCATTGGTTTTAACTCGCTGAGCATCCCAGTGGTTTCTCTCCTGTTATTATGAGCATATACTTTCTCATTCAAACAGTGCATTTTTTACCTACAGTAGACTTTAAAAGGAATATTTATCCATCTTTTATACTGTACATTATAATGTTGTGTATTTATATTAATATATAATGCCTTGCTCTCTCACTATATAATGAATTCTCATGAATTTTCAGTATTCACCCATCTTTTCTACTGCACATTTTGCTGTGATGTCTAAATTCACTTTTTGTATGTTTATGTTGTATGTTTTTAAAAATAAATATGTACATTTGAGTTGAATTACTGAAATAAATGAACTTTTCCACGACATTCTAATTTATTGAGATGCACCTGTATATACTGTGTATATATACACACACTGTATGTAATGTATATGTCAGCTCTTACTCTTGCAGCCCAGTTTGGTGAGTGTGTTCTGCAGTTCGTCTGTCTGTGACTGCTCTCCGTCTCCCAAACACACAATCACTGTGCTCTGACCGCGAGCGTCTGACTGAGACGTGTGTGTTTCAGTATGTGTGTGTGCAGACGCAGCCGCAGCCACTGCAGACACGTGTGCGACCGTCTGTGCAGAGAAACAGCCGCTCATCAGGACGTCTCCGCCGTCGGCCAGCAGGGGCCACAGAGCCCAGGGGCCCACACAGCACGACTTATCCTACAAACACACACAACACACACCATCACAGACAGCGCAACCCATCTCACACACACACACACACACACACACACACACACACACTCTCTCACACACTCACACTCACACACACACACACAC